CCTGTGCGCAGCTTTGTATCGATTACTTTCCTGAAGTTACAAGTTCAGATTATAGGTTTTAGCTTTGGAAGCTATGATATTAGCCGTTTCCGATTTAGAATTGTTCATATCCCCTCAACAATTTCTGAATAGAAGTTAAAATTATTCCTTCTTTCCTTTTTTCGTCATCAGCGGGGGTGGGGGTAGAGAAATCGTGAGTTGAGCGTTAGTGGGGAGCCTTGAGTATTGTAGCTTGGTCATGTACCAGCTAGTGATTGATGGGGTAAACGTTTTCTAGTCCGAAGGAACGTAGCATTAACCAACTTAATTTATTGATTGGGTGCAGGTAAGGCCGTTGTCCTTCCGGGGTATTCTTTGTGTGGGAAGACAAGAAAAGAAAACGGTCATAGCTAAATTATCTATACATTTTTGTTTCTTTTGAATGCCAAAGAACCGCTACACTTGTAATGTCTCACTTTTCTATCTACTTTTCTATGCTACTGTTGTAAAGGTTGTTTTGAAAACAATACAAAACCAATCATTGCCTACTGATACGCGTTGCAGCACAATCTCAGGTCCTAGTATGGAACAGAAACTCATATGCATATAGAATTCCAACACTAGTGCCCGGAGTGACACCAGAATGAAGCATACAACAATGCAGTTACATTATAGTATGCGGAAGACGCGAGCGTAAGACGGTATCGTGTTCGATAAAATAAACGAGCTCTCCAAATTTGCCGCAGATTGTAATCACGGCGGTTTTATTGCACAAAATACCTATCCCCATGGTAAGTTGGTGATGTTTTAAATACTTGTACTGAAATGTAATTCATCTAAAAATATTCAGAAATAACAGGATTAGTACACTCCGAATTAGTGTCAGTATTGGGTAAACCACAAATTATCTAATCTACATGTCGGCGATGCACAGTACCGTCGCATAGTTCAATATTCAGCATACTCCTTTTCGCACTTGGTCTAACACAACCCCTCTAGATGGTCGTAAGATTTTGATACTTGATACTCAACTAACGCGTATTCCATGTTTAGGAGATTCGTTAGAAGTGCTCAGCTTGCAAACAGGGTTGCTGGTCTATGCCCATTATCTGAATTTATTGAGTTATGATATTGCATTCAGGAGTTACCAAATATTCTGTTCAAATCAACAGATGTGCTGGGATTTACGTAAGTAACAACAATCTTCACGGTGAGCACAACGGTTTCGGCTTCACCATTGAATTGTGGATGTCGGGGTAAAGTTAGCACATGACGGTAACCAACAAAATTGAATCAACCTGTAACTGTCTTTACAGTGAAATGACTCCTATTATCAGTCGCGACAACCTGAGGAACACTTTCCCTACTGGAAGGGCTTGGAAGGTACAGTATGCTCTGGGCGATATGGTAAAAAACACATCTGAACCACGGGAATGGGAATTGACAACCACAATAATCCACATGTATTTGTTACCAAGATTTGGAAGATACTGGCCACGGAACCTATCAGGAAGGTTGTGCAGGAACCTAAGTATATAGTCGGCACAGGATTTAGCAATACGATCTAAGTCATGATTTAACTCAGACCCAAACGAACAGCTGGACATTTTATCTTTTCAATGCCCTAATGACCGTAAGCTACAACATTTAGAAGAGTCTNNNGAAGAGTCTTACGTTATGTTATGCACAATAACGCACTTCACATAAACTTCCTCAAGACATTTATAAAATTTCGGTAGTTGGTGCCTAATATATGTGTGCTGCAACCTCGACGGATACAGAAAATAAAGGCATGATAATACCTTATGGTCTTCGGAACCAAATCAGACCAGCCGATCTGAAACTGTTCGGTGGTCAAGATTTAAATACCCATGTACATGTTACTCACGAGTAGTCCATTTCTTTTCTTCGAAAAGAATACAATAGTTGATGTGCTGTTCTTAAATGACGATTGCTGACTCTTCCAGTGTGAATGCAGTCATTTGTGTCAAATCCGCATTTTAATTATCTCCGAAGAACTTTGGGTATGTTTTATCCAAACAGCACAATAAGCAAGAGCTTAATGGTTGTCTGCAGCCTATAGAGCTTCGTGTGATGGACACTCAACTATTGGAATGCTCGCTTTCGCGCGTTCATGTTTCTAGACTATCTAATTAACCTTTTATTCCTGTTGTCTGATTCTGCGAATAACGATAATCTGTAGTGACTTTATAAGAATAATAAAAATGATAGAATTGTGCGATCGTTTCTCTTATCTGGCATCGTGTTAATCAGTATCTTAATTGACAATTGTTGGAACATTTGGACTAATGGTTTTCCCCGAACCCGTCACTTAGAATTCAAATTAAATAGGGTTTCAATGCGATAAATTTGACCTTATTGAAAATGTCAGCAAGCTTTTAGAATACAGAATTTCTGTTTGGATTGAAGCCAATGAGACTTTTATTGGCCCTAGACTTATACAGGTTGAATCCAATCGTTGCTACCGAAATTGCTCTGAGAGTGCAACCTCAGTGCTCCCAGATTGCGTCTACTGGTGCGACTGTAGTGCTCCAAGATTGCGCTCATTCGAATTTTATACTGGTTGAAAATTGAATCCTATTAAACTGCATTTTTTGAACCCAGAGCTCTGGCATAGTGAATCCACCTAATTTGTCAGTACCATAGCAAGCATATCGACGCAAACCTGCCATAACATGTTTAACATCTTCTTTACCATAAACCGTAATTATAAAGTTGATCGTTGTTCAGTTGTTCCCCCTAAAATGTTACGCAGAATGATAGATCTGTTTCCCTTTTCATTATTCTTAAACTCAGTTTAATTTATATGAATGGTTTAGGCATTACACTGTTCAGATCTCGACGATGTAGGGTAAACTGTGAATTCAGGAGCACGGTGAGAGTAAAACATCTGCCACAATGTTAAAAGCGTATAGCAGAGGCATCATAATCACTAGCGACTAGGACAACAGATACACCATCAGAGAGTAACAAAAATCCGTATAATTTTGCATCCGGTTTCTTTACGTAGGAACTAATAAAAGTCTCAGTCAATGTTTTCCAATGCAAAGTGCACTGAAGATAGATTAATCGGGTCACAATTTATTTATAAACCGCTGTTTGCGGTTATTTATTCAATACTTTTAAAGTTTTGAAGGAAGCCACAGGAGATCGGTGTATATTTAGAAAAAATAAATGACATGACACGGTCCATGGGGATAATACGCAATGGAAATGTCTCTCAATGTCCCATATAACCGACAAACGGGAAAGTTTGTAAGACTGCCAATTGCTAATTCATCTTGATTCAGACTGATTAAGTTCNCGAATTCTTTTCGTAGTAAACGAAATCGGAAATCATTAAAGAAAGAAAATAATTTTATTTCACTTCTTCAGCAAACCATCCCCACGGGCTTCTTTTCAATAATTGAGTCGAATTTGAGTAAGAATTTCCATGGTTAAGAATTTCAATTTCCTCACTGATATAATCGAATCTTCACATTGAGCAGTGGTAGTCGAAATTTATATGCTTTTTCAAGTCCCCAACCATAGAACCCATCCTCATTCTAACTGAGCTTCAAAACTGTTAAAGATCTGTTTATGTGGTCATAGAGCACAAAACAAGCACTGCCAACACCAACCCCTCGAACACCTCGTCCCATTCGCTCGGGGGTGATCTAAAGCCGCGAATCTAACTCTAAGACCAACGAAATGCACCCGAAGACTGTACACAATTAACAGAAGATCCACAGTGTGTTAAATAACCTAGAAATTTTCCATAATTCTAAGTGCTTGCTCAACTGTATTAATTCAAATGGCATGGTATATTTCTGATCAGATGTATCAAATAGATTCAGCATACTAGACAAATTTTGTTTAAAGTGAGGAGTTTAGTATTTTACTCCTCAAGGTTGCGCTTTTTAAAGCCACTTTGCATGTTATTTTCACAATCTGTCTTCTCCTCTGCGCTTTTTCTGGTGTAAAATACTTATTTAACCCTGTTAAACGCTCAAGGTATCTCCTGTTGACCGTGTATTTCTTCACTTGCGCTTTCAGATTCCGACCTGAAGGTTTTCCGTTTGATGGGCAAGCACACACTTTATGTGCACATTACTGATGAGTTCAAACCAGAACTGTTGGTCAATCACCGGAGAAGTGTTTTCACAAACGGAATCAGATGAACATGTGGTCATTGAATGTAGTACAAAATATGCGAAACTCTCACAGAAGAACACAATATATATAACACCTGGTATCTGGTAACTTTTTCTGCCGTACGGAAGAATTTCAAGTTGATTGACGTTTCTTTGAGGATGTACAGTGTTGACTTTGGATGTGATCAACTGCTCTCGAAAAACAACAAAGGCAATGATCCTTAGATTATTAGGAAAATCTTTTTGACATTCAAACACTTGATTTTTTTCTGGTCCTTTCCGAGATCTTCACCGTCTCCCCCATACTGCTTTTTAGCTAAATTATTTTTGTGCTCTCTCGGCTTTTGGATTTGCTGATGTGGTAAAAATTGTGTTGATAGTTGTGCTACACTCCCTGATTTTTGCGGTGTTTTAAATCATTGAAGAAGAATCTTGGCGTACATTCTTTTGTGAATTACTTTTCCATGTTTAATAGGAATAGCCCCATATATATATCAGACGAATAAATCAGACAGTTTAACCATATACCTTTATTCATGTGAGGGATAAAATAAGAACAACATATGCCATAAAGTGGCTTATTCATGCTTGGACATTGCCTGGATTTTCTGAGGAACTTAATTTCTTTTTCACAGGAAAAGATAAAAACGAACTTAGATTGAAACACGTCGCTGTTTTGTGGGAAAACAGCAACAAGAAAATGAAACGATCATTCCACTCCATGCAATGAAATAAACAGTGAATCTATTACATATTTCTGAGCTGCGATGTTTGAACCACAACTGCTCGTATAAATGCATTGCAACTCTTCTTATTCTTCAAACAGAGATCCCGTACACAGTATGCATGAACACAGCTCAGTCGAGGTCACTTGCTAGATACTTTGAATTGCTCTAAACGTTCAAGTGTTTCTTCGTATAATCGATCAGTATCGGGAATAGTTGTGGTCAGTGTTGGATTCATATGAAATTTTTCTTCATTTTCCTCCACAAAAGAATCATTTTCCGGGGTGTTTAGATGAAAGGACGGACAATTGGGAGAGGCGTTAGTCCTTGTTGATTCAGGAATTCTGGTTCTGCCTCGATGACTTCGTTTTTTACCAGAGATTTTCCACAATGAGAAAAGGTTTTGCCTGCAGGATTCTAAAATTGCTACATTCAGTGACTGCAGCAACTCCGTATTCACAAAATTCCGATTTGGATGAGGTCTTGAGGAAGTGAAGTGAAAGTAAGCATTAGAAAACGAACAAGGCAGTAGAAGCATTAATAGACCCAAACAGAAGGTGGGTCCATCGTTTGCGGTCAAGTCGGTTATGAGTAATCTTGAAGTTGACTGACTGGAACGAACGGCAAGCCATTCGGTATCAGTATCCGAATAAAACGTATCGTCCGGTTTGGTAAGGAAATTCAATATTTGAACGATAACCGTGAAAAACCTTTTTGCATCCGATAGGCAATTCTCATTTACAAACACTACTGATCGTTTGAGCTTCGCAAATTTCCACCGATCACATTCAGCTTTGGGATCAATGGTCAGAACTAGTATGCAATCCAGATTGTATCGCTTGATTAAGGATTTTACAGATCCAAAGTCGACTTCTTGATTAGTCGTACCAGTCAGCTGTTCTGAATTGCCAGACTGAGCGTCTTGCCATAACCAAACCTTACCTTCGGCCAACTTCAGTGGCGGGGAAACCCAACGTGCGTGAGCATTATACTTGGTTGAGGTGAGAATCCAGGGTGTATTTTTTCTAATTTCGTGGAAATCAAGACGAAAACAAACGATTTCATTTTCGCAATCGGCACATTCAGCTGACTTCGGAGAACTATTGCTTTTGTCAACTATGGTCACAAAACATTTAGTGCGGACGAATTCTTCTATTTCCTCCAAAATGATCTGGTTCTTCACAGGATGCGTTGTGTTTATCAGATCCGCTATGAGAAGGACAGTTAATTTTTGTTGGGTTTCCGATCCCGATGTGGCTTGAAGTAACTGTTTATGCCGTTGTCGGAGGAGCTTTCGCAAACAGCGCTTGGATATGCGTTGCTCACTATCAAAAATCTCTGCCAGGGAAATTGCACCGGGCACCGTGCGTTTCATGTAAGCCTGAGACTGGGGATGCAGTCGACAGTCGATGAGGAAATAATATACATGTGCATAGGGATCGGAGAGAATTTGTGACAAAGTATCCGGGGTCATTTTATCAGAATCAGGCTCACACATCGAACCCGGTTCTTGTCGAGGTTGTTTTGTGCACTTGTTTTCAGCTCTGCGTTTCAAAGCTTTCCGAAGGCATGATTTTATCTCATCTTTGGTTTTGTGCTTCCACCAGCACAGATCATCTGAGGAGGTAGTATTTGGGGATGGTTTATCTATGTGGTGCATATCTGTGATTTCTTCTTGTAGGAAGGTTGTCACGAGTCCAGTCATCTTTTCAGCAAAGAGCTCGTCCTCTTTTGTTAATTTATCACTAAAAAAGCCCGATTTGGTTTGACTGGGAAACTGAGGCGCGCAATCTGAGGAAAACAAAATAAATTGCCATTGAGTTGGGGTTTCAAATGAAATAAACAATAGAATTATTATATTGTTTCGTTGAATGGCCTCACAAAAATTGCAAATCAATTAGAATGCTCGAGACCCCAGGTAAACCTTAAGATGTTGAAACGAAAAATGCAAAAGCCATAGTGTTTTTGCATTGTTCACATATTTGACACTCACAGACTGAATGAAATGTAGCTCATATGAAATGTGATTGACTAATCCAAAGGAAGTCAGAGTGATTGGTCAATTGGTTTGGTGCTCGGACGAATTGCCTGTTAGCTTAAATGAACTTTTCATATACATTCGAGACGTAAATATGTCCCGCGACGAGCTGGTTTTCATTACATCTTAAGAAAACTTTACTAATGTGAAAGATTCTGGTATTTGTGAAGTAAGATATAGTAAACTAAGTCATACTTTCATAATAATGGTAGGTTTTATGCTAGGATGCGTAATTGGGCACGGTAAATTATTTAAACGCGCACTCTTTTTGAACAGGTTTGAAAAAGGCGTTTGGAGTCTCTTTGAGTATGTTGTTCATGGAAAGGTAACTGGAAAAAGATAGAAGGACTGTTTCTTACTTAATTTGAACCTAACCCATTACCAAACCCAGACCATGCAACTCACTTGTTCACTATCTTGTCAAAAATGAATCCTTTTAACTGCTGTGCTTCTTCTTTTGACATAATCATATAAGTGAGCGTTCACACCTTAATAATAATAACATTAATAGTAATAATAATGATAATATTATTGCTACTAATAATAATTGTTTTACTCCATTATATTTCGCATGAAATAACAAAACATACTTCAGAAAGGGAATGAGCTGGATTAATTCAAGCACTACTTAAGGACACGGAAAGCAAAAGGTCGGGATGCGGAGTGAGAATCCCAACTGTCGACCTACAAGTTGGTATGTCGGCCACTAACCATCTGAGCCCATTCATTGTGAAAGCAACCAACATTGGCAAGAATTTTCTATCTGGTTTCTCTGACCGGTGGTAGCAAGAAATGTCTGAAACAGTGATATTGGGTTTATTTTTCCTTGAATATAGAATGTCTTTTTTGAGGATTTTTATTGGTGCTTTGAAATCACACAACGGTTGTAAGTGGAGGACGAGTAGCATCACACTCCTATTATTCAAAAGTTCGATATGTTCGGATTCTCTATGCCACACCTGATAAAGAAGGGCCGTGTTGGGTGCAACAGCTGATTATTTATCGGGCCCCATGAGCTCAGTTCAACTGAGACTAACCTAAGTTATTTGCAACTCGCCGCATCCGGACAGATATATATGTCAAAGTCAAAGTCAAAGTTTTATTATGAGAATAACTTACAAGCTCGTGCTTCTCTTGTCCCATAGGATATTTACACAGATGAATCGGTACACATCGAAAAAGGAGTCACGTAGAGTTCCGGGTAGGAGATAATAGCGAATGTAGGCTACAGTGAATTTCCGTTTGCTTTTAGTGGTGTACGAATGTGAGGTGTGCCAAGGTTTCATCGAGTCTCTGCTTGAAAGATTCAAAAGTGGGTGCACAAATGACATGAGATGGAAGGATGTTCCAAGATCTGNATTCTGTAAAAATCCTATGAGGCATGATAACCTTTGTTAGCTTCGTTAAATCGCCCATAATAAAACTTTGACTTTGACTTTGTCCCCCATAGGATATTTACACAGATAAATCGCTACATGCCGAAAAAGAAGTCACAGTGAGTTTCGGGTAGGAGATAATAGGGAATATAGGCTTTTAGTTGTGTAGAAATGTGAGGTGTGCCAAGGTTTCATCGAGTCTCTGCTTGAAAGATTCAAAAGTGGGTGCACAAATGACATGAGATGGAAGGATGTTCCAAGATCTGCATACTCTGACAGCAAAAGACTGGCACTGGCAATCCAGTCGACACTTGGGAATCAGTAGTTTGAAACGGTGTCCCCTTAGGCGTACATTTTTGAATAACATGAGCAGCGATCGACACGAATGGTTTGGATTCTGCAGTATTTGATACGTCAAAATCAAGTCTCCTCGAGTTCGGCGGTACTGTGCAGAATATAGTCTCAATGATCGCAATCTCTCCTCATATGTCAGGTACTGTAATTCCTTGACCGGTTTGGTCGCCATCCTTTGTGGACGCTCAAGAATCTTACGATCACGTTGAAGCCATGGACTCCAAGCTTGAATGGTGTACTCTGTGTGAGGGTCGAATGTACGTTGATAGCAAACGTGGGAATAGTGATGATTCAAACCGGCCAAAGACTCGCCGATGTAGGCTGACATTCTTCTAGCAGCAGACGAAGCCTTAGCACGGTTTTTGTAGCAGCTTAAATCCTCTTGAAAAACAATACCTAAGTCTTTTTCGCTAGAAGTATGTGGTAGCCGCTGGTCTCCGAGGAAATACGAGAATTTCCGCTTGTGGCGTAGGGATAGGACTTTGCATTTAGAAATATTAAATTCAATGTCGTTCTCCTTAGACCATTGATAAGCTGAGTTGAGTGATTCCTGAAATGTTTGAGAGCCCTCTGGTTCTGTTATCGTGTTCCAGATTTTGGCGTCATCTGCAAACAGTATTGTTTTTGGGCCTAACACTTTGGGTAGATCATTTATGAAGGCGAGGAACAGCCGGGGACCGAGTAAGGCCCCTTGTGGAACACCGCGGGTGGCTTTGATAGATCGGGATACAGAATCAGAAACAAGGACTGATATGGTTTGTTGTTCGAGGAATACTTTTTCTACTCAAATGCGAGATCTCAAACACCATAACTGTAGAGCTACTGCAGCAAAATGTTGTGATTCACTCGATCAAATACTTTCACGAAGTCGATATAAATCACATCCACCACACCCCCTTCGTCAACTGTACTTGTCCATTCCTCTCGAACAAGAAGCAGGTTGGTAGAGCCGGATTGCTTCTGCCTAAACCGGTGTTGAGCTGTCGAGAGAATGTTGTATCTTTCAAGGTGTTCCATCAGAGAATCGGCCAAAATTGACTCCATGACCTTCGATAACATCAAAAGCAGGGTTACAGGTCGGTAGTTAGCGGGGTCACTACGACAACCACCTTTGTATATGGGTGAAATGCTCCTTGTCTCCACAATTCGGGGAGTGTTGCTTGATCGAACATTCGTTGAAACAGAATAGCTAGCGGTTCGGATATGTGATTTGCCAAAAAGATCAGAGATTTCGGGTGTATGTTGTCCGCACCTGGGGTTGCATTTTTTTCGCAAAGCCATTATTTTTGCTTTGACATTTTCTGTAGTAAATGAAACGTAGGNTTGGAATAATGAATTTTTAGCATTTCCGCTGCCTCCGTTGGAGTGGTTGCAACTCTACTAGCGCTACTTAGTACCGGTATACCAAACGTTACTTTCTGAATGGAGTTGACGTGGTGGTACAACACCTTGGGGTTAGAAATGAATTTTTGTGCTAGCGCCTCCTGGTATTTCACTTTATCCTCACGAATCAGCTTGGTACAGTGGTTCCTCAGCATACGGAATTTATTTTATGTGACAGCATTCGGAAGACGACTATAATCTCACCAGGATAAGTCTCTCGTCGAAAGCCATTTCCTTGTGCGACTTCGAATAGGTGAATTTCGGATGCCGGATTTGGTGATTACTCTAGTTTTAGTGACGGATGTTATTATATTTGTGAGATTGTCAATAAGTTTCTTCCATGCGACCTACGGAAGAAACCCACTGGGCAGAGAGCGCCAAGTTATTCAACAGTGTGTAGTTTATAGATCTGAGCCTGTTACCAGAGGAACTTCCTTGAATCGAAGCGTAACAGACGTATTTGAATGTAATTACTGCAGGATCGCTGCGTCCTAGGGGGTAAATCACATTGACAGACTCTACCATCAGCTCCTCATTGGTCAACACTAAATCCAGTATGGACGGTGACTGTAGGTTGTCAAACCCAGTGGCCACCTTCACATGGGTGTATAGTGGATGCGAGTCAATCAGCCGTTTGAAATGATGTTCGAAAAATGGACGGACGGTCGTTGATTTATTGAGATTGGGGCAGTTGAAATCACCCATAAGGAGAACATGGGTAAACGTTTGTGTAATAATGTGTGACATAGTTAGTAAAAGCGTCTCATTGGCCGTCTCCGGGGATGATGGGGGACGATAGATTACACCAATCAAACAATCATCATGTTTGGACAACTTCAGTCAGCACCACAGAGTGTCCGGTGTCGAAACGGGAGGGCAGATTTGCTCGCAATCAAGGCTGTTTCGGTAGTAGAGTAAAACACCGCCACCACGGGTAGGACGATCGCTTCTGAGTAGAGACATCTATGATAAAGACAAGTCGGAGTCCGAAATATCACCTGTGAGCCAAGTCTCTGTATCAGCAATAATATCCCATTGACTAGATATAAAACGTAACTTCAACTCTGGAAGTTTTCCGAGGAGTCATTGCGAATTAGAGAAGAAACAGTTTAGATACTGTCAGTGTAGAAATCCACTTGGGTAGGAAGTGGTACCTTGGCCGACCCCTTCTCGGTCGGCTACCATTCGCTTTTGGCAGAGGAGCTCTGGCAGCTTGAACCACTGGTTGCGTCGCGGAGTTAGGTACCTGCATGGAGTAATCTGGTGCATCAGAAGGGTTCTCCAGATTTGGGTGCAATTTGAGCCCGAGATTGAGTATGGGTCTCACACGTAGTTCCGGAGGCCGTCTGTTCTTTCTTTCCCGCTATAACTGTAAGACTGTGTTTGTCATTTCTGGAGTTCCAAGGGTAACTTTCATTATCCTCGGACCGTTACCACTGTAATGTGCTGAACAAGGAAGACGACTGATTGAAGTTGTTAAATCGTCGGTACACTCAAGTAGATTTTGAATGAATCGCCATTCTCTTCGGTCGTCCTGATGATGTTTTGGTTCAT